TGTAAATTTTCCCATTTCGCCGGATTTAGCGCTATCTGCTGTTTAAGTTTGATATAATTATTCTCTTTTAATGTACTACATCTTGCTATCAAATATATCCCCAAGTACTTGATCTTATTCGTGACCTGAATTTTCAATAGGTCTGCCAGTTCTTCCTTTTGTCTTAATAGCATATTCTTCGTCAAGATCTTTGTCTTATCTTTATTTATTTTCAAACCAGTCACCTTTCCATATGTCTCTATCTTTTCTATCAATTTTGATGCTGTTTCTAGAGGGTCTTCTAAAATAAAAGCCAAATCATCCGCAAAGGCTTGCAATTTAAATTCTTCCTTTTTAATTTTCATTCCTTTGATACTCTTTTCGTCTCTAATATTTCTATTTAACACTTCCAAAGTTAATACAAATAGCAAAGGTGATAGTGGGCATCCTTGTCTTGTACCTTTTCTTATATTGATGGAATCTGTCAATTCTCCCTCTATCATTACCTTTGCCGTTTGCTTATGGTATATGGCTTCTATTGCTTGAATGAATTTTCTGGTGAAACCCATCTGTTCCAATAATAATAGCATGAATCTCCAATTCACATTATCAAATGCCTTTTGTGCATCTAAAAATATCAAAGCCATTTGTTTTTCGGGGTGTGCCTCATAATATTCCAAAGTGTCCAAAATTACTCTCATATTATCTTTGATTTGTCTCTTTGGCAGAAATCCATTTTGATCAGGATGGATAAAGTTATTTAAATATTTTTTAAGTCTTTCTGCCAGTATTGAAGCGAAAATTTTATAATCTGCATTTAGTAAAGAAATAGGTCTATAATTCTTAATTTGCAATGGATCAGCCTCTTCTTTTGGAATAAGTGTAATATAGGCTTCTGACCATGTTTTAGGTATCTTCTTCTTTGACATAACTTCATTCATGACTTCTAGCAATGGAAGGTTCAGCAATTCTTGTAATGTTTTATAAAATTCTGTCGGAAGTCCATCTGGGCCTGGTGCCTTTCCATTATTTTGCTTCTTTAGTGCTTCAGTTAATTCCATCATTATTATATTACTTTCTAACATTTTTTCAGTCTCTTTAGGTATCTTAGGTAAATTAGCATTCTGTAAATACTGTTTGATTCTTTCCTCATCAATATTCTCTTGCTTATATAGTTGCCCATAAAAGTCTCAAATAATTTCCTTTTTCTCTTTATTGCCATAGCAAACTTGACTTTGATCATCTATTAACTGCAATATTTTCCTTGATTCTTTCTCCTTTCTCAATTTGTATGCTAACCATCTACCTGGTTTGTTTGCATCTTCAAAGTAGTTCTGTTTAGCACTTCTAATTTTCTGTGCTAATTCTCCTTTCTCTATTTGACCCATTTTGTGTTTAATTATGTCCAATTTTAGTTTAATGTCTTTTCTCTGTGGCGTTTTCTGTAGCTCTTTTTCAAGTCTTTTATGCTCGTCTTCTAAAGCTTTAGTGGCTTGCCTTTTCCTGATGTTCCTTTTCCTTGTATAGTCTACTATCAAGCCTCTAGCATATGCCTTCATTGTGTCCCATACATTCTGAATTGAAGTATCTTTTTTTATTTTCCCTAAAGAAAAAGACCAATTCTTTCTCCATCCGCTGTGTGAAGTCCTTTTCTTTTAAAATAGTATTATTTAACGTCCATCTTGATCTTCTTTTTTGTCCTTTCCATTTGATTGTCACTGGATTGTGGTCTGCCCAAGTACTTGTTTCAATATTTGTTTCTTGAATATTAGATATTAGTTCTGTTGAAATCCAAATCATATCTATTCTGGACCATGATAAATGTCTATTTGAGTAAAAAGTGTATTGTTTGGTTTCAGCATTTCTTTCTCTCCATATATGTTTTAAGTTTACTTCATCTGTCATTTTAAAAAAGGATTTAGGGAGAGTCTATATTGCTTTGTTGTTGTTGCTGTATAACCCAATTTGTTGTCTACAATTCCATTGAAATCTCCCATTATAACTATATTAACATAGTCCAGTTCAATTATTTTCATATGTAGTTTTTTATAGAATTCTTCTTGTAAGATATCTTATAAAGGTTTTCTTTATAAGCCATAGCCAAAGTTATTTTCTTATTTGTGTCCCAAAGTTTTTGCCATTTAGCCAATTCAATATTATAACTGATTTTTTTTTGCCCATGCCACCATTGCTTTTTAACATGTTCTTCCTCAAGTTTGTATTCTAATAAATACCTATACAATATTTTTATTATCATAGCTTAGAATTGTTAATTCTGTTAATACCCCATTGTGTGTATCTTGATTGTATTTGTAAATAAGACCACAATTCTATATTTACCCCTTGTGTTAGTAGTTCTAATCTAGTTTTCAGTGTTCCTTGTTCATTCAATGTATCTCTATAAGTTACTATTTTCTCCATATTTTTCAAGTTTGGATGAATAAATAGTTACTCTATACTTTTGAAGGGTGTGCTAAGGATCCATCTTGGGCACAGTTCCAAAATAAAATGCGATTTAAGGAAGCAAATACAATGCCACTAAGACAACCTGGTAGAACTTAAGGCGTATGAACCTCTGGGGCAGAACATAAAGATATATGAACCCCTGTGTCTCTTTATTAAACAGAATGAAAACATGTCACAGCTGTAGGTGAACTATAGGTGAGCAAAACTGTATATGTGAGGGATATAGGTTGCACACTCCTCCTTCTGCCTCCAGTCCGTGGAAAAATTGTCTTCTATGAAACTGGTCTCTGCTGCCAGAACGGTTGGGGACTGCTTTGATAGGCTAATGAAGCATTCATGTAGAATGTTTCTATTCCTCTTGTAAAGAAAAATCTAACACACCAAATATACAACAATCATGCACATGAAGTAGTCAAAAATGGCCCATGGAATTGATGAAGAATAGACGTGCACTGGAGGAAGGATATCAGTCAAAACATGTTTGACATCATTTTTACTTCTTGTTCATTTATATCAATTAGAAGTCCAAAAACATTGGGGGGAAAACTGCTCTTATGGCCACTTGTCAAGTACTCTGTTTCTCTAATCCTCTTTCCAAACTAAGTTATGTAGAAGCATTGGATTGGATTTTATGACAGATTAATTTAAATGTAGAACATTTCTTCTTCCAGGGCTACAAAATTTGGATGATCAGTAAATGGCAGCAGAGAGATACAAAAATACCAAGATTACTAGTGATTATGGCTGCTCAAATGCCTTCTTGTCCATTCCATGTGAAGGAATCTTCAAAGCATAGTTATGTAGCCAAGTTAGGACAAAAGAATGCATTTGATGACCATCATCAGGATAATCAATCAAATCCATCCATCCAATTAATGTGCCATCCATCTCACTATCCAGAGCGACTCTGGGTGGCTTACAATGGCATAAAAGCATAAATAGGTATGTTGTGCACCATGCCAGTTAAAGAATGTCAAATGGCCTTTATGGGGAGCCCATAGGAGCATACAGCTGTGGGGCTTGTTAGCACTCCCTTTGCCTGTCAATTTTTAACAGTTTTTAATCACCTTTGCCTGTTTGTTAAATTTTTAACTTTTATATACTGTTTTCATGTTTTACTATACATCGCTCAGAGTCCCTGTGTGAAGGATATGGATGGTTTTAAAATGTGATAAATAACTACAAAAGAATAACAATTAAATGAAGTTTAAGCATAGCACAGAGGTATTCTCCTTCTCTCTCAACCAACTCCAATATCAACGTTCAAACTCAACACCAAAACTCCAAGACAGGCATCTTCTCAAAAGTTCCTTTTATTAGAGTAGGTATACTGGCACATCTGGGAAAACCCAAATTTGAGAGTTCCAGGTTTCCCCCCAGTAATTCAAAATCACAAACCCATCCCCTGCACCCACCAGTCCATCACATGATTCAATCACCACCCGTCCCAACTTAAGACATTCCTTAACCACTTATCCAGGTGCAGGAACATGACCTTGACTGAATATTATTATGTCTAACTACATACACTCCATGAAAATCCCGCTTCCCAATTTCCTAGGCACAGGAATGTGGCAGCATGGAAGCTTCTAGTGCTACTATCAGCTTCCAATGCTGACATCCAACACAGTGCACCCACACCGGGGGGCCCACCCAACAGGCAAATTAACACATATTTTCTCACTGCTTCCTTTATAGTCCCATAGTTTTTAAAATCAAGCTGTGGCTTTTCTAAGTTTAAGCATTTTGTCCAAACAAAAAAGTATCATTTTTCACTAGAAGTGACTGTATCCTAATAAGCGCTAAATAAATAGGCTTCAAAGTGCTACATTGGAATGATAAAGTCAGTCTAAATTTGGACAGTTAATAATAGACACGCCACTAAACGTTGATAAGGAAGTCTGTAGAGATTCTCAGTCATTCAGGTCATGGTTGTCCCAAAGGTGCTTTTTCAGGAGGTAACTGGACCTCCTTATTTTTTCTCTGAAGATATATCTCGCTTCTCATTCAAGAAGCTTCTTCAGCTCTGACAGGATAGTGGGGAATAGAAGGATTTATATTCCTTGCAGGAACCCTTCTATTATATTGTATTGATAAGGAACCTGTTAAAGAGTTTGCAGCAATTCAACCAGCACACTTGTAAATAATTCAGCAGGATTCATTTATAGATGAAACTTCTTTGTACACAATAATATAAAGCATGATGCATGTATATAATACCCATGCAGCTCTTGCAACATGGTAGCAAATACAAGAAGCTAAAGCCAGAACCAGAACTCAGACTCTCTCTCTCTCTCTCTCACACACACACACACAAAACCTGTTAAGCTAAGCCACGTCCATCTCACATGGCTCACAACAGATCCTGTTTCTTAGTTCCCATTGGCTGACTTGTTATGGCTATCCCAGCTCATAATTTCTTATATACTGACAGAACCACCCACAAAAGTGGCAAGGAGATAGTGTGTCATTCGCTGTTATGACTAGAATGGTTTACCTTACTGGAAAAGGTTTAGCTGTGGCATCAAAAAGGTAAATAAAAAAATCAATCCAGATTTAAATATACAACAGCACTTTTATTGCAACAATTGCTTGCAAGTTAAAATGTGGTTGGCAATTTTATGAGATTCAAAAGATGTTCTGAACAAAAGCAAGTTTTATACGTCCACATTGGCTAATATGAATATCTTACAGATTAAATGTAAGCTTCCAATAGAAATTATGTAATGTAAGGAAAAGTGCAGTACAGCAAACAAATTTTATCTACTTAATACTGTATCTCCATAATTTAATATTCTCCAACAGGAACAATTTCTCAAATGACACCAGTGTTTTGTATCTTTTTAATTGAAAAACAATGCCCTGTTTCAGTTCCAGACTAAGAACTTTACCATATGAACAACAGTCAGCAAGAAAGCCCCACTGAGAACTATTTTGCTAGTTACTACATTTGGAGCATTGTTACACAAATTCCATTGGCAGCACCTGTATCTGAAGTTTTTTGTTGAGAAATTAAGCGAAATAAAGTCTACATTGCAGTCAGAATACTTCCAGCATCTAGATGTATTTTTTGAACCTTAAAAAGAAAAATAAAATTATAGTTAAGTTCTATCCTACTTAATTAAAAAGTTTTCTGTGTGTATAGGTGGAAATTGTAGTCTGTTCAAAAATTTCAGTCTTTTTAATCAGTTGTTAAATTAAAAACAGCTTACATGATATTGTAAGACTATTTGTACCCCAACTTTTCCACAGAAAATCCCAAAAGTTTTTAAAAGTTGCTGTAAAGATTCTGAATTGGCCCAAATCCTTCATCCAAAAAATTCAATCTTATTTCATTGGGAGATTTTACCATCCCTGTTTTATTACCCCTCTATCCCAACATTTGATAACAGCCTTAAGCCAAATAAAACAGAAAAAATAAACATTGTTTTCCACCAAAAATGGGAGAAAATAAAATAAGCAATGATTCCTTCACCACTCACTTGAAAACTTTAAGCATAGTTTGCATAATTAAGCGTTTTAGTAAAGCAAGAATTTGCTAGTTTCCCTGAAAATACAATGTACCCTGAAAACAAGCCCTAGCCAGATTTTCATGCCTGCACCTAAGAAGCCCTACCCCAAAATAAGCCCTAGTTAAGCCCTGCCCATCTAATTTTACAAGGTGGGATGAGGCACATGCCTAAAAATCAAGCAAGGGTGAAGATGGAGCTGCCCTACGAGCCCCCACACCCGCTTACCTAAGGCAGAGGTGTCAAACTCAATTTTATTGAGGGCTGCATAAGGGTTATGTTTGACCTGGGGGAGCAGGGGTATGTGGCCAGGGTGGGCATGGCCAGTTCAATGTCACTCGTATCGGATGTCACCCGCCTGTGGTGACCCGAGCGCTCTGCCAGTGAAAACAGGCTCCTGAGCTCCGTTTTCAGCTGCGATGGCCTCCTGCAACCTTCTGTCAGCGAACATGGAGCTCAGGGCCGGTCTTTCACTGTTTCCAGAGTGGCCCCGCGGGCCAGATCTAAGCACTTCACTGGCCCCCAGGCCTTGAGTTTGACACTCGTCCTAAGGCATTAAATAAAACATATAGAGGGAAGCCATACAAAAGCCAAATCTAGTGCATCTGAAGTGAATCAAGACTTTTTTCATTTTAGTTTTTAGTCAAGGTGGGGCCCGCTTGTAGAGGTGGATCTTTACCTGTGTGATATAAAAGAGAGTGCACAGCAAAGAATTAGGTTGTGGGGAATAGTCTTCACTGCTGCCTTAACAGACAAGGTTGGACACTTTGGCAGAACCAGCTAGGGGAGGACTTGTGTAACGGAAAACAGCACTGATGTGTGGAAGAAAGCTCCTGTAATGATGGTGGAGAATGGAATAATTGAGGGCCCAATGCATACTGGAAATCCCGTTTGATTTTTGTCTCAGGGCAGGATATCCTCTGCCCTTTGTTAGGGGCAGATTGCTTTTTGGCTTGCTGATGGTACCAACAAGCTTGTGAATTCTATAAAATGGTGACCCGAGCACTGATCTTTCTGCCACCTAAGTGACTTTCAAGATACTGATTGACATGTGTAAAAGCTCTACATGGTATATAGACTAGTTATCTGTGGGGCCATCTCTTTTCTATGCTTTCTACTCAACCTGTCAGAATTGACAGAGGCTGGCTTGCTGCAGATCCCATTGATTAAGCAATGCAATCTTCTAGGATACCGTAAGAAGTTTCTGTGGCACTTTCCTTCTGCAATATGCTCCCTGGAGATTTGTTTGACCTGCCATCTTATGGTGTTAGCAGTACTTTTTAAAAGCATACTAGAAACATAGATCTTCTCCATCCTAATGTGGTGCTGGGAAGTGTTTTTGTTTTTATCTCTGCAGCCAGTTTAATGTAGTGATTAAGACATCAGGCTAGAAACAGAACACAAAGCCAGCTGGGTGATTTGGAGCCAATCATTCTTTTTCAGTTCTGCAAACTACTTCCAAAAAACTTTATCCAGAAAACTGCAGGGATTTGTCCAGGCAGTCATCAGAAGTAAAAAACAAACAAAAAACCTCAAAGGCACATATGAGAACCAGGGTGGAGGGCAGAGTTTGATTGTTGTTCCCTCCAGAATGACAAGATATATTGAAATGTTATTGCTGACTTCATTGTGTGCATATTAAACTTCTCAGAATATTTAAAATCAGTCTAAAAATCAGATTAATAAATGTGTATATTTCTTCAGAAATTAAATATAAAAGAGATCAAGCAATATACTCACCAAGATATGCTATTAAGCAAGTATCTTGTTCACCTGTGCAGGTTATATTTTTGTCACAGTTAGCAATTGGACAATTGTAGCACACTAAAGCATTTCCTAAATAAACAAGGAAAAAAAGGAAGTAAACACAATGTTCCCTTATGAAACAGAATCCCTGTTAGAAAACAAATTATAAGCAGTCCTTTCTTACTGTTTTAACAACAGTTCAAAGTTTTAACAATGTTAAAAAACAGCTTTGCGAACAATACATCTATTTACAACTGTTACATCATCACTCACAGCTTCACAACTAGCTCCTGACAAGCATATTTCAGATTTCCAAAAATCTTGACAGGGAAACTGCATGGACATGTTCAGGTAGTTGCCAGGAGTCAACTATCTTTGACTCAAAGACACATACAAAAAAAAAAATCAAAACCAAAACCCAAAGCAGTTCCCTTGAAACCTGATCAGTAGGATTGCTCCAACAATTTGACTGGTTATAAAAAAGTTTCATACAACTCAAATCAATAATCTGTCATTCAAAGGGATATACTTTTTTCTATCATATTATCTGTATAATTCCAATCCATCAAACTAAAACTCAGTCAGCCCTTTGAATAATAAGCCACCTCTCCCTGTTCTATTCTGTTATTCTGTTATTGTTATTCTGTTTCAATTTCACTCCTTACCTGAATGGAGGAACAAAGCCAGAATAAAGGTAGTATTGATAGCAATGACTAAAAAGGAATTCATCTTCGTGTCTTCTATTCAACCTACATAATAAAAAAAATATGTTGTCCTATCAGATGTTCCAAAATAAACACAATCAAGCATTGGTATTTCTATCCCAAGCCTCAAACTTGTAAGGGGGGTGCACAATCATGCCTAACCTCCCTGTTCATTTGTCCCCATTTATTTGTACCTATTTCTTGTATTCTTACTCATGTTTACTTATACCTATTATCTTGTAAGCAATTGACAAATCAAATAAATAAAATGAACATTCTATACAGCATGTCATTATGCCAGCCTTATAAAACTTTTATAAGTGCTAATTAGTAATTTTTTTCCAGGCATGTGACAGAATATTCATGAAAGGCAACAACACTGAGACTGAAGAAAAAGTTTGTTACCACTAAAATGAAATATTACTTCTAAATTTGAAAGCACTTTTATCTTGTATATCAAATAATTAGAATTTATCACAACATGAAGAAAAATGTTTATGTACATAACTCGCTACTCCATTTCACTGATTCCAAAAGACACTTTTGCTGGAGATCTCTCACCATAGCTGTATCATTTAAATTGATTTTTATTCATTATCACATGGCACTTTTGTCCCATAACACAAAAATCCCAAATGAATACAAGCATTTTGTGAGCGCAACAGTACAAATGGCAATTAAACTGCACAAAACCACCTCTTTTCTATTGGCAAACAGAAAACAATATAATGCAAAGTAAAAAAAATGAACAAAAAAAAGAGAAAAAGCTAAAGCTAATTATCAACACTAATAACTATATATTTCCATACATTTCAGTGCTTTTTGCCACCACACCCATATATTGTGTCATACTCCGCTTTTTCTTAAAACTTCTCACCACTGTTTTTGTGGATGTATTAAATTCTTCTAGCCATATTTTCAATCCTCTCTATGCACATCCTCAACATATTAACAGTTAAGTGCTCTAGTCTATGTATGGCAAGGGTATGAAACTGGCAAACAAACTGCCAACTGCTATCCTTTATTAAAAAGTCACATGAAGGTAGCTAAAATTATGTCTATGCTGCAGCACCAAATTCAGATTTAAGCATAAGATAAACAGTTTAAGCCAGGGGTCTCCAACCTTGGCAACTTTAAGACTTGTGGACTTCAACTCCCAGAATTGTTAGCACTCCCACTACCACCACCTTTAGGCCTCAATTTTTTTAACGTACACTTTAGTTAATAAGTTTTAAAATGGCAATAAGCTACATAGCGATCACTGGAGCAAATAATTCATTTTGTGAAGGTTCCAAAAGGCCTTAAAACCTGGCTCTGCCAAGTGGCCTGGAACCCGGGTAGGGTGTGGTTAATGGTATTGGGGAAAGATTCTGCCTCTGCCTTTGTATCTTTCCCTTAGCCATTTTTGTTATTTTTAATGGCAATATTTATCATTTCCAGATGTTAAATGCAAGGCCATCTGATGGTGCGATGGCTGGCATATATAAATACAAGTTTTCAGAAATCGAGGAAGAAAACATTTGAACGTCCGATTTTTATTTTTTTAAAACGTAGAGTTCACGCAATTCGGATTTTCCCCTTGAAATACTTGCTGTTAATGAAAAAGCATCCTTTATTCAGATGCATCTTGTCTTTATTCTTTCTGCAAATAACTCAAGCCTGCCGTGTTTGTGTCTGCGGGCGTGTCCGAAGGTGCTGAGCGAAGATCCCGTTTTGCCGCCCATATAGGAAAGGAGCATTCAAGCTTTTACGTAGCTTAGGGTTCACCCAGTTTCCATCTGACCCAGGCATGTTATCTTTGTTTGTGGGGACGGGCGCCCGCACCTTTTGAGTGGAGCAACAACGCTGCGGGCGGCGACAAGGCGTCGCCTCCAGCTGTCGGTTTCGCGCGTCGATTAACAACTTTCTCTTTTTGGCAACAGAGTACAAATTGCTTGCCCGTTTCTACCTTTTCAGCGTTGGCTTGAAAGCGGCCATCCGCTTCCCCTAACTTTCTAAACTAAGCGCAGGAAACGAGGTGGAAAGGAGGAGGAGAAAAAATGCTTACGGCGTGGAGAGGAGGTTAAATTAGGTTTTCTGAATAAAACAAAGCAACCAGGCAGGGCTAAATCGTTTTTTTTCATCGTTTTGTTTTTGCCTCCCACTAATTCGCCATTTCTTTTGTGCCTCCTTGCTATTCCAACCCCACCTTAAATCCAAGCTAAAGCCCCGAGGATAGCTAGGGTCAAACTCCCTAGACAACCAACCTTCATGCGGCTGACTCAAGCTAGCAATCCTAGCGGTTTTCGAAGGAGCATTGGAGAAACCAACTCAACCAAGCGCACAGGCCCGACCAGAGGCCTCGTTTTTCAAAGGGGAGACAACAGCTACAATGCTTACCAGGCAAATGGAGACAACCAGACAAGACGACGACTCAACGCCACGTGACAAAAAAAAACCCACGTCTGACTCCACCGAAGCTTCCCAACTCACGTCTGGCGACTTCAATTCGGGAATGTAACATGTATGGCTCGGGCGAGGCGGAGCCAACCTAATGCTGATTTTCAATTGGCCGGTTTAGAGGTTTCCCGGTCCCCGATTCGCTATATGGTCATGGCGCTCGTAGAATAAAGAACAATCCCTTGGTTTTCAGCTGAAGTGTTGAGCCACAGGGGGATATTTCTGAGATTAATCACGAGGAGAGTAGTACGTAATAAGAGGAATATCACCGAAGGGGGGATGGGAACAGCATGTTTCAGTACATTTAACCGTTTTATTCCGGGTGGGGTGGGGTGTATGTATGTGTATGACAGTTACAGTAAAGCAATAGGAAGGGGAATCCCAAAATACTTGCTCTTTTGCGCGACCCTCTCGCAAGTGTATTCGGAAGCTACCACATGATATGCTATATTGCTCCATCGACCGCGCCCAAGAATTTATGATAAACTACATATTTAGGGGGCGCTCAGAATATGTAGCAGATTCGGGTTACATTCTTAAGGAGGCTTATCTATATGTGCTTCGGAGTCTGATCCGGAGCAGTTTTAGAAGAACTAAACAAAGATGACCCAATACACCACCATTCCCCCCCCCCCCAAGATACTTTATTCTGCATACAAGTAATGTGAATTAGATTTTGAAAAAATTCTAATAGTGCTTTAAGCAGGAACACCTTTGTTTCAAATGCCACAACATATTAACTGCATAAGACTTTAAACGTATAAAAACGTTATTAGAAGAGAGCTTTTAAGTGGCAAAAAAATATGTTTACCATTCTGTATTTTCATTTTCTATCTTGGGTTTAATGCCAGAAATCATCAACATCATTTAAAAGACCACACAAACAAGTGTAAACTTGTTAAATGACAAATAGATGTTGTGGTATGCAAGAATAGGTACTGTTAAATGCAAAACTGTAAGCAATGAGAACTATATTCTTTTTTTTCCTTTGGTAATTTGATAATTTTTAGCTTTCTACTACCAACAAGTGAACTGCATTTCAATTTTCTATATTAACACATTAAACTCACTCTAGTCTATTTAAACTTTTGTCTTTTTATCATTTGTAACCTAATACCTTATATTATTGCTTAATTATTATAGAATCTTGTATTATTGCTTAATTATAATTACAGCCTGTTTCCCTTGTATCAGGGTCTTGTAGGTGCAGTCATACTGAACACATCCATGCTAAACACATCCATTTTGACCTGATTTTTCAAACCTGTCACAACGTTTTTGCTGACTGAAGTCCTTGCTTGAATAGACAAAATGTACCTCACTTAAGAAGGTTGAGAGGAAACTTGTAAGTCTTGAAATAGCATGGGACAGAGTTTCCCTATTAACAGATTTTTCTCCAGTTTTAATATCTCTTTTTCATGGATTCACTCCCCCAAAAAAACTCATTTGGGCCTTTCTAGAATCTTCTAATAAATTTTTTTTTCTTAAAAACATTTTGGTAGTTCCCATGAGAATCTTGAATTCCCACTCATGTTTCTAACTCCATGCTTCCAGTACCATTAAAAGAGCGATCTTATGTTATATATCAGATCCCACTGAATTTATACAAAGATATTTTGCTGCTCCCATATGGCCATTAGCTCTGTTCTTCTGGTGATTTCTCCTTTAGTTGCTGGGAAAAGCAGGATGTAATCCAGGAATGTTTTTTGTTTTGTTCTGAATTGTTTGTTTGATAAGGTGAATACTGACCTGATGAAAGATTGCAAGTCTTTTATGAAATTGATATTCCCATTGGTAAGTAGACATTTGGACTTTTTTTTAATCTAGAGTCTGCAGAACATATCTTTCTTTCTCATTTATTGTCCCACATGTACTTTGCTATTTTGTCTGATCTTCTCATTGGTGTAACAAGATGAACAAGTCTGTAGCTATGCATTATCAGAAATAGCAATCAAAATCTTTATTTTCATTTTTGTCTCCTTGCAGGACTATTTCAAATATAAAGCTGGAAGAAGTCAGGAAGGAACTGGACGAAAGCAAAGTATTTTTTGCTAGCTCTTGGGAACTATCCTAGTAGTGGAATGCAGATATTATACAGTAGATGATACTGTATAGATGGAGGGTCTCAAGAAATTGGAAATAAATCTTTTATTTTCCTTTATCCCCCTTCTCTACTTTTGTCAATCACCTCGGTTCAATTCATCCAATCCTATAGCCTTCCTGCTTTCTCTCAGTCGTTACTCAAAAAGTAACTCAGCAACAAAGGTGAAATGCTATGGGGTAAATGTTGTGGGAGATATCTAATCTGATACTGACATATGTTCCTCTTGTCTTAAGATAAAAAAAATATGGGGCTGCAGAGGGCTGAAAAAAGAAGAAAGATATAATAGATTTGAACTTGTAAAATGGATATGTATAATGAATATACAAATGCATAGTTAGAAATTCATGTCTAGCTATGAACAAAGGTCTAAAATGTATGTCAGCAAGTCAAAATTGACATCATTGAGGCTGTTTTGAAGAGTGTGAAAGTAATATTTCATAGGGTGAAGATAGTTACATGTTATCCTCTGTGGGAAGCTTGGAAAACGGGGCCATACTTTTATGCTGTTGATGCTACACTCCAGTTCCCTCAGTCCTATGTATCTCAGGGAACTTGGGCTAGATTCAGCATTAACATGAAATTACCTACATGCAATGCTTAAAGAATATTGACCTGCTATAACATACCTTCTATAACATATATCACAATCAAGGTGTTCTGACTTAGGCTTAATAGAATCACAAAACAGACGCTTTGTCTTGCAAAAATCCCTTTTTATTTGATTAATGTGAATTCCTTAGCATTCACATCCAGAAAAGTTCCAGCAATAAATATTTCAAGATTTAATTGCAACAATAAACCTTATCAGTCCTTGGATAGTTGCCAGGCCAAGAGCTTCTAGTCGCAACATTATACAATGAAATACCTGGCAAAGTGGCTCTGCAAGGCACAAACTCATCTAAGCACATCTTCACAATTAATTGTCTCCTGCAAACACGACTCCCCGTTTGCTCTTATTTATTTCCTATGGGAGGGGCCATTCAATGTCCACTTGTGCTTTTAGTCCCAAGTCGACCCCGTTCCTTAATTGTTCCCTTCTCCTGACAGCTCTGTGCATTTGCGCATCGGGAACAGGTGCCAGCTGTTCTTCTGCCTCACTTATCTCCGACTCTGAAAGTAGTTGATAATTGTCAGACTGCCCTGGCCCCATCTCTGCCTCCGATGCAGAGCACCCATCAGAGCCTTCCCCAGACACCAGAACTGGCCCATGTTCCTCCCCAATCTCATCAATGTCCAAGTCTGTTGCCAGCTCTGCTGGCCGCTGGTGGGCCACAACACAAAGAAAGGCAGCATTTGTGAAGGTTTTAAGGATCACAGACCTAGCACACAGAACAGCATTGATTAACTTAAAAAAAGTCAGTGATGCCTGTGTGATGGAAGTGTGCCCCTGAGTATGTTGAAATTGTGCTTTACAAGTAGGATACACCCATCAGACAGTCAACCCACCTGCCCCACCCACCTTTGCTGCCCTTTGGCCAAGCCTCACCACTTACTTGAGGAGGGTTTTCTCGCTCGTGCGCGCCTTCCTGGCCCTGCCACAATTAGCCAGGGATTGTGTGAAAAGGAAGAGGAAGGTCTTTGGGAAGCCGCTCGCTCCTCAACCAACCCTTGTGCAGCACAGTGAAAGATAACTGATAACATAATCAGAGTTGGAAGGGACCTTATAGGTCATCTAGTCCACCACCCCCCAACCAAGCGGGAGACCCTATACCATTTCTGACAAATGGCAGTCCAATCTCTTCTTGAAGGTCTCAAGTGATGGTGCTTCCATAACTTCCAAGGGCAAGCTGTTTCATTGGTTGATTGTTCTCACTGTCAGAAAGTTTCTCCTTATTTCCAGGTTAAATCTCTCCTTGTTCAGTTTCCATCCATTATTCCTTGTCTGGCCTACAGGTGCTTTAGAAAATAGCTTGACCCCCTTTTCTCTGTGGCAGCCCCTCAAATATCGGAAGACTGCTATCATGTCTCCCCTGGTCCTTCTCTTCACAGGACTAGCCATGCCCAGTTCCTGTAATCATTCTTCATATGTTTTAGTCTCCAGTCCCCTAATCATCCTGGTTACTCTTCTCTGTACCTTTTCTAGAGTCTCAACATCTTTTTTATAATGTGGTGACCAAAACTGGATGCAGTACTCTAAGTGTGGTATTGCCAAGGCTTTATAGAGTGGTATTAATATCTCACTTGATCTTGATTGTATCCCTCTGTTAATGCAATTTAGGATTGCATTAGTTTAGAATTAGACAGAGAGAGAGAGAGAGAGAGACAAAGAGACACAAAGAAAAAGAGAGAAAGAAAAAGAGAGACAGTGACACACAGAGAGACACAAAGAGAGACAAAAAGAGAAACAGAGACAGAGACACACGGAGACACACACACACACACAGAGGCAGAGAGAGAGAGAGAGAAGAAAAAGAGAGAAAGAGAGAGGGAGGGAGGGAGGGAGAAAGAGAGAAAGGTGAACAAGGCCAGGTGTGGCAAGAGGTGGCTGGGAGGGGAGGGGTGAGGCAGGGCCAGGCTGGGCAAATAATTTAGAACTGGTTCCCTGATCTAATGACTGGCTGGGTAGACGTGGCTGGGTGGGTCATGTGACTGGGTGGGAATAAGTGGCATTGAGTTGGCCATGCCCACCCAGTCACACTGGTTGTTGAATGCTCCCAGTGTTTTCTTTTCTGGGGAAACGGGTCCAAATGGCTCTTTGAAGTGTTTAAAGTTGCAGACCCCTGCCTTAAGGTATATAAGTCAAGAATATTGAATGGGAGGTGTGCAATCAGTCTCAAGCCATCCCCTTGACTGCTTGTCTGACTGACCCTCATTGCAATGTGATTCAAGTAAGTGATTTGTGTTTGGTATGCTTTAAATTCTAATAAACCTCTGAATTCTAAAGTGAGACATTTTGTAGTATGCTGTCTGTTCAATTGTTATTA